CATGGTCTTTTTGGGTTTGGTTTTGTTTTGTTTGCTTTGTTTTTGGTTATGAAACAGGGTTTCTCTGTGTAGTCCTGGCTGTCCTGCAACTTACTCTGTAGACCAGGATGGTCTCAAACTCAGATATCTGACTACCTCTGCCTCCTGAGTGTTGGGATTAAAGGCATGCACCACAGGAGAACTAATAAATGTTGAGGGGAATCCTACAAAAAAGTTGGATAGGAAATCTAAGCTGGAATCAGAGCTATTATCTTGAAATGAGTGCACATAACAAATAAAATCCTCACATGAATGGTGGAGAACAAGAACTAGAACTTCTGGGGTATACTGAGGACCCTGCTAAGCATGAATTTCTTCATATAAACACTAACCTATTTCACAACTCTAGAGAAATTATGCTTTTAGTGTAGCCTCTTGGTTGTTTTCTTAAAAAAAAAAAAAGAGTTTCCTAAGTTCCCACCCTCAACTCAAATCTCTGACAGCCAGTTTTCTAGACTGTCATAACAACTGCTTCTCCTGTGTGAGAGACAGAAGGCCTTAGTGCGGCCTCCAACTCAGGGAAAAAACAAGAGCTAACTCAAGATTGACCAGGGGAGAGGTGAGTGGGCAGGCATGTGACAGCTTAGTGAAGACTTATTTACCTTCCTATGCAGGGGACAGATGAGGCCCAGATGACACCAGAAGCAGAGGCCACGTCAAGGGTGACGGCAGCCCAGAGGGATTCGTAATTGGAAAGTCAGAAAAGGCACTGAGGGGAAACCGAAATGGTATGGGTGTGTAGATGTCCAGGTATAAAAAATATGTGTGTTCAGGGATGTCAGGGATGTCTGTCACAAGTCACCCTGCCATAGTCCAGCCGGTGGTTAGTGCTGATGTGTTCTCTGGTTTAGAGAGGCAATAAGCACAGTTATGGGATCAAATCCCAGTGCCTCCTGAAAACCTCATATCATCTACTTAATCTCCCTCTCCCAGGGCTTCCTGGGTTGTGAAATGGTGACAATGAGCCACCTAGATAGAGCACAAGCCCCTGGGAGAGGAAACACATTGATGTGAGGAGAGCGGTCACACCCTGTCTGGCAGCCAGGGATTGCTTGTATGCCTGCAACTATTTTTTTTTCAGGTACCTGAAGTGAAAAAAATACCCCAAAGCCTTGAGCAGAGATGAGAAGCTAATATCAGCTAAGGAAGTCTACCATACTGGGGGAAAATCAAATACTGGAACTGGGCAGAAGAGGTTTGTGGGGTGAATGTTGGGGTGACTCTAAAGAACAAGGCAAGATCACTAAAGGCAAAATGTCAAACCCTAAGCACCCGACCTTTGCATAATTCTATTTTTGTTCTAGATTGAAACACCCAGAAGATGGCACCTGACCCTGAGCCTACTCAATGATTCACTTTGAGAGACTGGAAAGGATGGAGATGACGAGGCAATCACTGGAAGACAGTGGTAGACTTCTTAAAGACAGACAATAATTTCCATGCATTTCTTTGTGGAAACAATAAAGCAATTACATGGATGACAACTCTCATTTTCACAGACAGAGACCATTGTAGGCCTGAGTGCACTGTGACTGTAGGACTCTTGGCGTGTCATCCATGACCTCTGACTAGTCCACATTTAACCCGAGTCAACACCCATTTGTTGTTTTCTAACATCAAACCCTTACTAGTCTGAGTTCTAGTGGCTCTACGGGTAAAACCCAGAGTCACTAAAGAATCCATAAGCTACAATGGTAGCAAAGCAAGTCAAACACACAGCCAGGGAAGGCTTTATCCTGCATTATCAGCATATCACAGAATTAAATCAGATTACACACAAGCTTGATCCAATCTCGACCACTACGTTTGGTCATGTGAGAGTCTACAGAACTCTTAATTAAAACTTTTCTCATCTTCATGGAAACATCTACACATGACACCAAGAATCTTTCAGAAAAGAATGAAAACAGAAGCTGGCCCCCAAAAGGACAATGCCCCCTGCTTTTAATGCCTCCACCTAGAAGGGTTGATGGTGCCCCACAAACTTCCTAAGGCAAAAACAAAACAAAACAAACAAACGAAAGACAAAAACCCAGTGTTTGATATGCTCCATAAAGGAAAGATTTCTTTACAGCCAGAGCACTGATCATGTACAATAGACCAATCAGGTTTTCCTAAAATTTAGTATTTGCAATTGAAGCCTGGGTAAGTAATTACACTCACTGGAATGTACAGGGAGCCATCAATCCCTATTCATCCAGCCACATTTAGTGAGCCAAGAGTTTTTCGAGGCTTGAAGATATAAAAATGAATACGACACAGCTGCGTTACTTCCAGCTAAAAGAGTACACCTAAACAAAGAGCTAGGGGGATGTGTTAAGTGGCCACAAAGGGCTGAGGCCAACGGAAAGAGCCATAAATTCTCTCTGGGAAATGAAGCTAGTGAGGGGAGACAGCTAAGACAGGGTGAGATACTCCCTTGTGATAAACCAGAGAATTTTCTTTCCTATGTTCTGAAAAGGAAGGTAGTAATTTTTAAGACTTACATACTGTGGTTATTCCAGAAGACTCCACCATCAGTTTCATTAACATTTGACACACACTTCCATTTGCAACGCCCTAAGACTTTTGATGAGTAATCATTGTATGCCCATAACAATCACACAACACGGGACGGTATGAATCCCTGGCATGAACTTCGATCTCAAGTTCAAAGATGTTTTGAAACAAACAAATGAACAACACACTTTGGAGAAGTCATATGTAATATTCATGCTTCTCCTTAACATTAAGGAAAAAGGACCACCTGATTGTATCATGGTTCGCATTTGTCTTTATGTCTGCGTTTCAAAAAGAGAGGGGGCACGCTGAATGGACTTCTACTTACCATCATTCATTATGCATACCATATTCCTACTTATAGCATAGTTGTGACAAAACCTCCATTGTCCCTTGCACTAGCCCCAAACTTGAGTCATTCTAATGTAAGCATGAGAAACTCCCGGCTCCTTTGGGGTGAATTTCCAAATTCCTCTGTGTTAAATTGAGGTCTAATTTTCCCTGTGCCTGGTTTTCACAAGAAGGTCCATTGCACCCCATGTGCCTCCTTCCAGCTGTCAATAAACAGAGGCAGTGAATTCCCTACAGCTTTACAAAGCTAGTTAGGCAGGGCCATTCATTCCTTCAGGAAAACAGGGCATTGATTTCAGCTAGTTCCCAGGGAGCGGCTGGGACAAAGAGATCAAAGGCCCACCTCTCTCTCCCTCCAAAGCTTTCATTAGGCCTAGCCCAGACAAACTGCGACAGGTCTCCTTGAGACCAGGAGAGGGCCCGACAGACCACCTCATGGTTCAATTCAAATTCATCCGTTTCCTACATTCCAGTGACAGTCCAGAATGCTAACCATGACAAACCCACACAATCGTCTGGCATAATATACTACTCACTAGTTCATCCAAGGTCAGAGGGAGAAAATGAGCGCTGAGGGAAGTCCTAGGTTTCTAGGGCCTGCTGAGCCTCAATGGGCCCCTGACACTCCATAAATAAACTCCTCTGTCTCACTCTCCCTTTCTTCCTCCAACCTGTATCTTTAGGAGTGATGATCTCACTTAACGGTCTCGAAATTTCTTTCACGCCACTGGACCTAAACTCTCTGGAAACTTTGTTCCCAACCTAGCAGTTGCAATGGTAGCATGGATGGCCCCATGTGCGGCCCTTATCAATCTATTCCTGTGTAACAGCAAACCTGCTACACACAAGTTTCCATTTGCTCCAACTGAAAACCAATTCCTAGTTTCTAGGCTTTCCCAAAAGCACGATCCCCAGGGAAGGCCACACAAGCTCAAAGAGGAGCATGGCTTGTACAAATCCTGTTTGCAAAACAGAAGTCGGAACGGGAATGAACAGTTACTTTTTTTTTTTTTATCCAGGGAATCATCCAGGCTGGGGTAACCAGGTCCTAAATAGCAGTATGTGAAAGAGTGTTTGTGCATTTGTGGGAGTGAAGAGGGCTAGCCAGGGGCAGGCTGAACCAGAGGGAGTCTAAAAGAAAATGTGTTTTCCCAAGGGGGGTTACCTCTATTGAACAAACATAATTAAAAGGGTTTCTAAATTTGCCCTTGAATTCAGAACTGCCCCTGTGATGCAGCCTTCACAAAACCCTATAATGAAATGTATTCATTTTCTTGTGGTTCCCTCCATGTCTGTCACTCATCCTGAGTAAACACGAGGAGAGATGGGTTAACTTTTGAAATTCATAAACTGAAAAGAAAACAAACAGTATTGGAATGAAAGGTATGGAAAACCCACTTTCTGACGCAGAACATACCCTTCCCCGCAGGCCTAGTTCCAAGTTTCAGTACTGTCGTGGGGCTCACCACAGATTTCCTGAGCCCTCAATTCACTGATTCTTGTCTCTCTTTACCTACTGAATAGGTACCACAGAGAGTACTGAATAGCCTTCTTTGAAAGGCTTCCACTTATTTTCAAAATGAGCTAAGAAAGCCCATCCTAAAATAAGACAGTGGCACTTAGACAGTGGGGTTGTTGGACCTCGAGTCCAAAGCCAGCCCAGGCTCTATAATGAGACCCTGTCTCAGAAAACTAAAAAGTGGGGAGGAAAGAAAGGCGGCCTGTGACGAACACAAGAATGTTAAAGCTAAATCTGGCCACTGACTCACTTTAGGTTAAAGGGTTACACTAACGTCTTGTCTTCCGGGCCTTCTGAAATGGAGACAGAAATATCTGTCAAGAATCTCAGTACAAGGTACTGTGAAATTAGCATTCCTCAAGAACTTGCTTCATTATAGAAAGCTGATCTTATGAACAGCTTCATATAATTACAGGTCGCTCTGACTCAACAGAGGTTCTCTGGAAACTCATTAAGTTCCTCTAAATCAAATTATTTTTCAAAAGTACTTATGAAATGTACTACTTAAAGAAAGCCTGTGGCAAAGGTCAAATATACTCATCAATTCATCTGCCTGTCTTTCAGAAGCACTTGCAAAGGACAGAAATATTACAACTTGATCTTCCTCATAACAGACTGAGACATTATGAATCTATTTTTCAGAGTGAAAAAAATGGGTTCTAGGGAAGTGAAGAGACTTGCCAAAGTCATACAGTAACAGGGTGGAAACCTCAAGTGTTCAGTCTCTAGACCTCACACTGCTCTCATTATACCTAGCTACTGTGTCCTGTGGATATAATTACCCACATAAGTCCTCCGTCTCTAACTATATTTAATAAGCAAACATGTTACTATCCTCAATAACCCTTCCTCATATCCCACTTTCTGATTTCTGTGATCTGTCTGTCTGTCTGTCTATCTACCTACCTACCTACCTACCCATTGTGCCATTTTTTATTTTGTTACAGAAGATTTTCATATGGTAAATGAAATTTAAAGATATCAAATTACTATTGTTGCCTGGGGTGCATTATTTTCATTATGTTGGCAATATCTTCTGACAGTTCCTAAAACAATAGCTTTGCTTTTGTTCTAGAAAGTTCTCCTTCACCTATGTTGGGGATGCCAGAAAAGACACATGTAATACAGTCTCCAAAGTTTTTGTCTTAACATGCTTATTCTTTAGTATGTTAATTGACATTGTGTGGCAAAGGCACTGGAACCCTGTAACTTAGGAGGAAATGTGTCAAACATGTTTCCCTGTGATGAGAGAAGGCAAATGCTGGGGAGGAAGATTGTTGAAAAATGGAGAAAAAAAAGGAAAAAAAAAGAAATATCAACTTACAAAAGCCAATGACACTGTGTACGTACGAATCAGGCAGGAACAACCTGAAAGCAAACAAAAAGTATTCATGAGTATCACACGACATTTGAGTGTGCACTAATTAAGGGTAATTCTGAGACAGTTAGAGACTTGAGTTCAGTTTTACTTATTCTCCCCCAGCATCAAGAATTCATGAAACTACTTATACTGTTACAACTTTGCTAACACAGTTTGGTCTTTTGAGAGTGCTCCAGTTTTATTGGAGGTGTGCATTTGACTTCTATATAACTCTACCATAGGCCCAAGATGACATCACCAAAGTCAAGACACAGAGCAGGTCCATCACCAGGAGGGGCTGCCACACTGCTTTTTCACAGCCACAGTCGATGTCTGTTTCAACATTAAACATCCATCCATTTTACAAAGAAAAAAAAAATGAAGACATCATTCCTACTTAAGAAACTACCACCAAGTAGTATATAAAATCATGATTAAAGAATCCTGTCTTTATGCATTGGAATAAGTTTTAATTCATAAAACAGATTTTCTTTTTGTACTGCCGGATAAACCACTTATTTCAAACACATCTAACATGAAAGTAGACATGTTCTTTAAATTCTCATTCCACATTTTCAACATATCTCTAACAAAGAACCTTTGGATATTTACCATAGGGGCCTTGTAGGTCTTTTACATTTTACTTCATTTAATATACATACCAGTATCCCCATGTGACCCAAGAGAAAACCAAGACACTGAGGGGCTGAATAAGTTCTATATGGCTATACTAGCAGTGCTTAGGACCAGATAGTTAACATCCAGACTCAACTATCCCTCAAGGGAATCAATATTGATAACATTAAGACATGTTGTGTTGCAACCCTAACCCCCCCATTACTGCTAGACTTCACCTTCATATAGAGAAAATTAAATAGGAAAAATGTCCCCAAACAATGACATGAGTGTTTTGTTCTTCTGTGAGACGAGCGCATGTTATGTAACCCAAACTGGCCTGGAATTCTCAATTCTGTTGTTCAGTCTCCCAAAGTGCGTATGCCACATTATCCCAAACAGTAATTTACAAAATGAAAATGGTTCTTTATTCAAACACAAAATGATAGAAAATGGTCAAAACCAAACAAAAAGGAAAGAATAGAGCACAAAGGAAGACTCCTATTAGAACAACGAAGCGTTCCACAGCCCTTGAATTGCTACCCTGGTGATGTCAGGCGGTTGCATGCACGTAGCCATGCTGACCTTTGGAAAAGCTCATTCAGCTAGCAAAGGTGATGATGAGGAGTGAAATTTTCAGTCCCAGATAAAAAGCTTCAAAATTAGGCTCTTTAGCCAATAGATACATCAAAAAGCCTAAAGGTAACATCCAGATAATGATAATAATTCAGCAGAGTACCGATCGGGACAGAATTTCTGTAGGTTTATTAACTTAATGACACAGCATTATTACTGAAGATTAGTAGCTATTTTCTCGTGCAAAACCAAACAACACATTTATGCATAGCTGCGGCAAATTGGCCAATTCAACAATACTTGAGAGGCACCTATCCAATAAGCCACTGATGTCCTGTCCCAGATACTCGGGCTATGCTTTGTTTACAAATGTCTCCTTAATGGTGTAGGGTCAGGAGGTGGCCAAGGGAGGAGAACTCATTACCAGCATCGGCTGCTGTGCATATAAGTTATACATAAAAACAAGGGGGTGTGAGGAGTTTTACTTCCCCACAAGGCCACAGAGTGTCATACCTCATTTTAAGAGATGGAGAAAACTCTACCTCCTCAACATTTTAATCTCTCAGCAGGGTTAGAATGCTCATGTTTTATTCCATGTATAGAAGTTTAGTTAATGTATTTTAACTAAACTTTATAGTACCTCTCAGTCACTCAAACACGCTTTCTTTACTGTGGGAACGTGTACTGAACACTCTACCTCTGTCAACTTGCACTCACAAAGACCCCAAAGACTGTACTGTGTCATAATGCCTCCCCATACTGTGGTCATGTCACACATTTCTTCTCCTCCAGCTGCCCTTCCTACTCCCAGTGCATGTACACATCCATCAGCATCCTTGCCTCGTGGTTCACTGAGAAAACAAAAGCTACTGGTTAGAAAACCTCACTTTTCTAACTCTAAACATGCAGACTGCCCTCTGACCACAGGAGAAAATCTTCCTAGAACAAAAAAAAAAAAAAAAAAAAAAAAACCAAGCCCCCTTCTTCACATAAAGTCTTCCCTACTTTACCATTCCCTCTTTTTCCATGACTCATGTCCCCACTACACAACATGTCCCTGCTTTAGAAACAAATATTCCCTGACCTAGTGGTACCCTGCAGCTCTGACTCAGCTTCCATCCTTTCTCAGAGAAACATCTAGAAAATCCTTGTCACCTTGCTTCTTACTTATTCAAAACACTTTGTCCAAGGATCATTATTAATGCCATCAAGGAATTCTTATCCTTGTTTTGTTAAAAATTGAGAGATTGATGCTTAAGAGAGATCATGAGGTTGGGAGTGAAAATACCTTTCCTTGGAGCAACTAGGGAGGCCAGGGCTGACCCAATGCACTCTTTTAGGAAATCACATTAGGGACATTAAGTACCCCATACCTCTGTCCTCTCTTATATCATCCTCCCTGCAGAAAAATCACAGGTAGATCCCTCAGAATATCACTAATTGTTATTATTTTTATTTGAGAAAGGACCTTACTTTACTTATATTTCCGTGCTAGCCTATTTATGTAAATTAATCTTCTTGACAACCTGAGGAATAGGTGATTCTATCTCCTTGATGAAATTCAACCACAGCTGAAAGGGAATTAAAAAAATCTTTCACTGTATCACATTCATAGAGCAATACCTGACCTTGATCACCTGATCATAGACTCCCAAGCTGTGTAAAGGCTCCTTTCTCTTAGTTGTTCCCATTAGATAGTGACCTGATAAGAGATATATGACCCAGTCCTATTACCTCCAGGAGATAAGAGAATTTAGAGTTGATGTAAATTCATTACAATGCCTCAGAAACTGATTTATCTATCAGGAGGGCACTGTGAGAATTTGCATTGTCAAGATAAGATCCTCAGTTGAGGTGATCAAAGCACTCACCTCCCCTACCTTCAGCTCAGAGCTGACTTAGCATTGTGGAGCTCAGGATTGGCTTCTAGGTCACCCCACATTGTACCTACACTGTGCTTTCTCAGAACCCCCGGAAAACCTGGGTGAACACTGTCTCTGCCTGGCACCCATGCTTCCTTCTGGTCCTTCCTCTTGTGAGACAAGAACATGCAACTAGTTCTAGGCTGTGAATAACCAGGCTAACTGCTGGTAGAAGTTATCAACCATCCTTTCCCTGCCATGTAGCCAAGAAGACTAAGTATCCCAAGAAGTATACAAACTATAAGATGGTGGTATGTTAGCAGACTTGGGTCTCATTGCATGGAACAAATCCACAGTGGGCATTTGTATGAGCAAAATAATAACAATAATAATAATAACAACAACAACATTTGAGTAGTCACTAGGATTGTGGACAGCTTGTTACCACAACGTGACCTAAAGCCATCCTGACTGTATAGAACCTGGTACCAGAAGTAGGTTTCTGCTTTAGCAAAACCCAACGTAATCCTGATGAGGTAACTGATATCAAGAGGCAGAATATAGTGGTAAGATATGGGGAGGAGCCTCTGCCTCTACCTCTGGCAGGGTACAACATAGATCTTCCTTGCCTAAGGACCTTGCTTGTGGCTCTGACAGAAAAGGGAAGAAAACAAAACATTGGAAGTCTGTGTGTGGTATTTTTGTATTCTTCTCAAAATGGATTCCAAGAAAATTGAGTTCAGAAAAAAAAACTGGCCAGTTTCAAAAAAGGAATCAGAGCCAGGCACGGAGGTTGAGGCAAGAACATCATCAAGAGTTCAGCTAGGGGAAGCCAGGGAGTCCCAGACGGTTTCACTGAAGTCTAAGAAGAGCCATAGAAATGAGACAGTAAATCTATAGCATTCATCTGAGGATTGCATCTCAAAAAAAAATCAAGGGTATGTTTATTAGCATGCAGGACTGCCTGAAAATACAATGCATAAATAAATACTAAAAAACCTTCCAAGTTTGCAAGACTATTGTGCTGCCAAAGACAAAAGGTCTCTCAGTTGAAGTGTTAAAATTACCTTTTGGCTGGCCCTCACACTTCCACTTGTAGGAAGTAAGAAAAAAAATTGGTTAGCCCCCAAGTGAGGCAATTTCTCTAACCCCCACTCCCAATGTGACTAAGAACAGGAAGATGTTCAAAGCAATGACCAGACAGACTCAGAGCCCAGGAAGAAACATTCGGCTTCCTTTGGAGTATCCTGTTTCAAACTTGCTACAGGACAATTCAATGACTCTTTACGTATAAACTTATAATTAAAAAATGTCAAAGACTAGGTTTGGATCTGTATTATTTTAATAATCCCAAAGTGATGTCAGGAGTGCCTATTTTCCTGTATATCACAGATTTCAAAATCTCACACTGAATGGCATGTCCCTATGTTCTACACAGCATCCTCTGGGGCTATGAGTATCTTCTGCGGGCTTTTAAAAAGCAATTCTCTAGATTGCAGCTTGAAAGATCTCTTTAGAGTGCAACAAGGTATTACACTAAAAGCATATGATGCAGGCATACTTTACAGAAGGCCGGCCAAATGAACAGCTCTACCTCACACAAGCTCTCAAAATCTCAACCAGGAGCCAAAGTAATGGGCTGTAAAAATAACTGACATTATGCCTGGGAGATCCATGACAAGGGCTGAGAGACTGATCATAAACACGAAAGCAGCTAATCTCCACCTCAACACTTTAGTGTTCTATCTGTGGATGGCACGGGTACAGACAGAATGTGTCCCTGAGTCCCTCACAGCCCCTATGTCAAAGAGCAACCCCAGGTGAGAATGCATCTAGAGACCTCACTCACTGGTGCAGAAGTAATTAAGGTTAGATGAGGCCAGAAGGGTGGGGCTCTGTTCCAAAGGAAGAAGAGTTTCACCACAAACACAAGAAGTGAGAGAATGACCACTTCA